TCTAGCTCCATCATCAATTGCTCACCCTTATTTTCTGGCACACCCACATCCCTCTACATGCAGTATCCATCACTCGCCTGCTTGAAGCTCAGACTGATACTCCATCCTTCCCCAGCTCTGCCCTGCCAAGCAGGGACACTGCATCACCCCCCACTCTCTCTTCCACTGGCTTCCAGGTAGGTTCAGCCAGTGGGAGACACTGGAGAATGACTGGAGTGTGGGAGAGGGGAGAGGCCAGGGCATTGCTCCCTCTGCCTCAGGGAAGGATGGAAAGCCCGCCACAGCAGCTGCATCTTCTCTGTGGTCACACAATTAGTCAGATGGCTCCTCCCTCCCTGCATGGCTAAGCACATTTCAGACAGCCCTCACCATGGGTGCGGCTCCATTAAACTGCTGCAATTGTGGGTTCCGTCACATCACCTCTTTCCTGTGTCTCTCCATTCGTAGTAGTGGCAGTGCTTCCTATTGTTGCTAAACTGTAGGTTGCCTTACCATTTCATGTTTGGCTTTCCAGCTCTTCTAACACCCATGTAAATACTTTCTTCATTGAATCCCCTGTGTTAGAAATACTTAGAATGGTTTCTGGTTTCCTGACTGTGTCCTGTCTGACATGTGAAGTTGTGTTTCCCTTCTTGGCTGTGTAGCTCCTAGAAGCCAGTGGCTTTACGAATGTCTTTGATCTGCCATTCTGTCTCCAGTATGATCTCCCTATAATCTGTTTTCACAGAGATACCAGTATTATTTTTCTAAGGTAAAGATATTATCAATTAATAATTTTTTAAGAAATCTTCACTGGTTCCCTATTGACCATGATATTTTTCAAAATACGTTTTCCTGTTTCTCAACCTGTTCTACAATGAATTACAAGCTGACAAAATATATTTTTAAAAAGAGAAAAAATATGACTATAAATTAATCATCACTATAGAAAAAGTAAATACATGGATTACACGAGACGGAAAGTTGGGATGCAGACATACTGTTATGAAATTTGGCTCCACTTTGCAGCCATAAAAGGGAGACAATCAATTACATAACTGTCTTTCAGAGGGCCAGCACAGTGTTCTTGGCACTTCCCTGATGGAAATTGCTCATCTTATCAGTAGTAAGGGGAATTCAAGCAAATAGGACTTAAAAATTTCATGTAAAGAAAGGGTTCAAAGTTATTTTAAAATCACAGTTCATGAGGGTAGTTGAATTGCTTACTATTCAAACAATATTTCATAGTTTCTATCGGTCTCTAAAATTTTAACTAATGTGAACAGAGAAAAGTTGACTCGGTATAGTTAGTAATGTTAAGAACAGTTGCATGTTGTTTAAAGACAGAATAAACAGATAAGACTCACTGACATTACTTGATTAAAAATGGGGCAGTTGACTATGACTCCCTCTTGAATATGTGGTCTTTCTATATCATCACTAAAATGGACAAAGGAATGCCTTCAGGCAAGACCAAGATATTTCCCCAAAATTACACAAAAAGAGTCCTGGCCAGGTGCAGCGGCTCACATCTATAATCCCAGGGCTTTGGGAGGCTGAGGCAGAAGGATCACTTGAGGCCAAAAGCTGGAGACCAGACTGAGCAACATAGCGAGACCTCGTCTCTACAAAAATCAAAAAGTTAACCAGGCATTACGGCATGTGCCTGCAATCCTAGCTACTTGGCAGGCTTAGGTTGGAGGATCACTCGAACCCAGGAGTTCAAGGCTGCAGTAATCTATGATCACACTACTCCACTCCAGCCTGGGTGACAGAGTAAGATCCAGTCTCTAAAAATAAACAATAAATAAATAATTTAAAAAGAGACTTAGGTCTGTTCCATCCATGAAGAAATAATTGTTCAAATTCTCAAAACTCTGTTCTACAGTGAGTAGCCCACAAGATTATCCAAGTAGGATTAATAAATTTTCTGCTAATACCATAGAAAATAAGTCTCACATTTTCTTCAATAAATATCTACTTGAGTAAAAAAATTTCCTGTTGAAATTCTAGGAAGAATTAACAAGAAAACATACTTCTTAACAAGCAAACCAAATGATTTGCTATATTTAGGGTTTTATTTATTTTTAATATAAATTGATTAAATTGTAGAGACTTCTGCCAAATATAATGTACCCAGCTTTAGGATAATGGATTTTAAGCCATTCCTCCTAAAAACTGTGTTATTGTAAAATCCATTGTGTTTAATCTAATTCTGGCTTGAAAACTAAAACATAAAAGCATAAAGGAATTTTTTAAATGCCCAACTTTAATGAGTGTGTTCAGAAAAGAACACTTTCATATCCAACTGGTAGACATGACATTAACAAAACCTCTCTGCTGGGATATTTATCAATGGATATCAGAAGTCTTAATATATGTATGCACCGTTTGACTGAATAAGATCAATTCTAGGAATTTATTCTAGGGAAATACTTATGGAATTGTACAACATTTCTACGCAGATGTTCATCACAGCATTGCTTCCAGAACTAACATTTTGGAAATGAGCCAAAATAAAGTTATTAAATAAATGATCATATATTCCCACAATAGAATGTAATGTAGCTTTTAAAGTTACATAGTGAAATAATTGAATCATATTGAAACTAGCTCTCAGTACATTACAGAAAGACACTTTTGATAAAGAGACTTCCAGTAAAAAATGGCAATGGCAAATTGAACACTACATTTGAATTCACTCTTTGTTGAAAGTCTAATATGATAGTAAAGGGGTTTTTCCAAGGAATGAACCCACAAAGTCAAAGGCAAGACGAAAGGAAACAGGAACACCATTAGCTTAAATGTCAGAAAGCAGATGGACATGTAGCCATTGACTTAGAAGATCCAAGAAAAGCTGAGCTCTAAGTCAGCAATGGGAAGAACCAATAAGCAACATGCTTTCCATTCTATTCCAGAACTTGTAAAAGCCTCAGAAATTAATGGCATCAGGTACTTAAGAAAATGGTTATAAAGGAAACATAAAACCCATAAAGTTGGAAAGCAGTTAGGGAAAAATGTTTAATAACAAAGCAGAAAAGGAAAGCAATCAGAGATAAAGCACGAAGCTTTATAAAGATGCAAATTTTTTCTAAATTTCTTTCTTCCTTTCATTTTTCTTCTAAAAAAAGCTAAAAATATGTACTTTTAAAGAAGTAGTAGAAGTCATTAGATACCTAGAGACTATTTCAGATCCATGCAGCCAGCAACTACTCTTCTCCTACCCAGGAGAGGACTGGGGACTTTTCCTCTGAAGAGTAAACAACATCTCTGGCACAGTTGAGGGTAAGGGAACTATATTGAAAGGATTAAGTGAAGATTTATATAGTGAACACAGAAATTAAGCCTAAAATTTATAAGAAAATACAAGGAAGCCCAAATACCCAAAATGATCTTTAAGAAGAACAAAGTTGGGGGAGTCACACTTTCTGATTTCAAAACTTATTACAAAGCTGTAGTAATCAACACACACATGCACACATATATATTTGTGTATATATAATTGAGAATCAATGTATCTACTGTCAATCAATTTTCAACAAGGGTACCAAGATCATCTACTGGAGAAAGAATAGTCTTTGGGAAAATAGTGCTGGGCTAAATGAAACTCTACATTTGAAAGAATGAATTTGGACTCTTACCTTATACCACATGCAAAAATTAATTCAAAATGGATTAAAGACCTAGATGTAAGTGCCAAAGCTATAAAACCTTTAGAAAAGTTAACACGGGCATAAATTTTCTTAACTTGAATAAGGCAACATTTTCTTAAATATGAGACCAAAAACATAAGCAACCAAGGGAAAAAATAAATAAATTGAACTGCCTCAAAATAAAAACTTTTGTATTTCAAGGGACACAATCAAGAAAGTGAAAATTCAGTCTACTGAAAATATTTGAAAATCATGTATCTGTTAAGGGACTTGTATCTAGAACACATAAAGAACTCTTACAATTCAGTAATAAAAAGATAAATAACCCAGTTAAAAAATGGGCAAAGGATCTGAGTAGACATTTCTTCAAAGATGACATATAAATGGCCAAAGAGGAATGTGAAAAGTGGTATTCAACATCAATTGTCATTAGGGAAATGCAAATCAAAGCCATAATGAGACACAACTGCCCATCAACTGGGATGCTTACATAAATTTTTAAAAAGCATGATAGTGGGGGACCAACAAGTGTCTATGAGGATGTGGGGAAATTAGAACCCTCATACATTACTGGTGGGAATGTAAAATGTTACAGCCACCATGGAAAACAGGATTTTCTTGTGGCACTACACGTGCAATTACTACATGACCTAGTAATTGCACTCTTGGGCATTTCTCCCAGAAAAATGACAACTATGTTCATACAAAAACCTAAACCTGGGTCTTCAAAGCAGCTTCATTCATGAAAGCCCAGAACTGAAAGCATCCCAAATGTTCCTCAATAAGGAAATGGTTAAGCAAACTGCGGTATATACATACCGTGATATCTCACTAAGCAATCAAAAAGAATCAACTATTGATACATGCAGCAATAACTTGGATGAATCTCTAAGTAATTACGCTGAATAAAACAAACTTATCCCAAAGGTTACATATTATATGACTCCATATTTATATAATGGTTTTGAAACGACAAAATTTTAGAAATGGAGAACAAAATTTTAGAAATGGAGGTTGCCAAGGGTGAGGAAGAAGTGGGTGTGGTTATAAAAGGTGTTTATATAATCATCATAATATAAATATTAAATTGATACAATGAAAATTAAAATATACCTAGCTCAAAAGGATGGAGGAATGGAAAGTGTGGATATTTAGTAGGGGGAGAACAGAGTGAAAGAAAACTAAATCCCCAGATTTGAGGGGGATTAGATGTTTCTGTGATATTGGCCTCCATTTTCAGAAAATGTTGAGCAAGCATCTATACCTTGTCAGGCAACACGGTAGGCTCTGGGGACATTAAGAAAAATTAGATTGGCCTCTGCCTGTAGAAGCACATAACTACTCTTCAAATGAAGAATATTTAAATACCTTCAGTAAAATGTTGAATCAATCTTTGCTCATGATTACAAATGGTCCCTTCTTGTAGGAAGTGCAGCTACAAATGTTCCAAGGGATAAAGAAGAAGATACAGCTGGGGAACAGATAGCTGTGGTTTTTTGACGTCCCTGTAGACTTCACAACGAGGAGGTTTCCAAGTTATTTCAGGGGGGATGTACTTCTGGTTTTAAAAAGAGAAAGTCTTTCTCCTCCTAGAGACAGAGAAATAACACTGTCATAAAACACTGAGAACATATCACTTCTTGTTCACCATAGAAGCACTGAAACAAAGTTTTTCTGATTATATAGGTTAAACTAAAATGACCTATTCTTCTATTCCAAATGGGAAATAATAAATGACTGTTAACCAAGGTCTCAGCCAATAACCTCCTTTCAAATCAAAAGTTGATATATAATGGATCTTAGTCTCCTCAGCATATTAATAATGACTATATTACCAACATTATAATTAACATTGTTATATTAATATTAATTAACAATGATAAGGACATGTACCATAAAATTTTTTAATCCTGTTCTTTTCTAGATTAATTTCCTTCTTTCTCTTAGGGTCTAAATCAACTCCTCATGAATCACACCCTGCCCCACTGTCATATCAGCAATTTTAACTTAAACAGAAAATTATATTAATTGCTTTGGATCAGATCATGCATTACATTCTCCCATTTATATACTCTCCTTTGACTTCTCTGACAGTGATGCTCTCAATGAATCCTTTTCATATATAATAATAGGGCTTCCTCAGCTGAGGGCATAATGTCTCCTAGATCTGCCTGACTGACAGATGAAAGTTTGACATGTTCTTAAGAGGAAATAGACACATTAATTAGCACAGTTACTCACAAGTGCTTTGGAAACTATGCCCTAAAGTTGATGACTATACTAAACGTTGATAGGAGATTCTTAGTCTTAGAGTAAGGAGACTCTTTGAGTCATGGCACTTCTTAGTAGAAATGGGGAAGTCATGTAAAAGCCCTAAATCCTTCAACCCAAGAATCTCAAATCACAGATTTTTAAGCTTTTATTTCCCACTCTGGACCCGAGAGCTGTTAAACCAGCAGGGTATTGCAAAGGCAATTTAGTGGAGAAAGGATCGTGTTTTTTTTTTCAAGAAATGGTGCTGGAACAAATGTAAATTCACATACAAAGAAAAATATACATTAGTCCATACCTCATGCCATACAAAAATTAACTAAAAAATAGACCATAGACCAAAATGTAATACCTAAAACTATAAACTTCCAGAAGAAAATGAAGAAAAAATATTGCTACTTTAGGCACAGCTTTCTTAGATACAACATGAAAAGCATGATCCATAAAGAAATAAATCGATAAATTGGACTTAAAAATAAAAACTTCTGTGTCTTAAAAATCATTGTTGAGAAAATAAAAATGCAAGCCACGGATAGGAAAAAATATTTTCAAAACATCTCCATCAAAGAACTCATAAATAGAATTTGTGAAGAACTCTGCCAACTCAATAATAACATGGGGAAAATTCTAGTTTAAATATAGGCAAAGGATTTCAACAGGTATTTCAATAAAGAAGGTATGTGGATGGCGGAGAAACACATGAAAAAATACTAAACATCATAATTCATTAGAGAAATGTAAGTTAGAACCACAATAAGATACAATTGTACATACACTAGAGTGGCTAAAAGTAAAAAGATTGACCATAAGAAGTTTTAGTAAGAATGCAGAACAATTGGCTGCCTCATACACTGCTGATGGGAGTGTGTTATGCAATAGCCACTTTAGAAAACAGTCTAACAGTTTCCTAAAACTTAACCATACACCTACCATATAATTCAGCAATTCCCCTCCTAGGTATTTACCTAAGAGAAAAGAAAGCATAAGTCTCTACAAAGGCTTGTACATGAATGTTCACAGCAGATTTATTTGTAAGAGCCAAAAACTGTTAACAACTCGAATGTCTATCAACAAGTGCATGAATAAACAAACTATGGTATATATACACAATGGAATACAACTCAATAGTTGGTTTTTATTATTATTTTTAATGGACACATAATAATTGTACATATTTAGGGGGTACAGTGTGATATTTTGATATGTGTAATATTAGCATATCATCACTGTAAATATTTATCATATTTTGTGTTGGGAACATTCAAAATCTTCTAGCTATTTGAAAATGTATAATAAATTGTTGTTAATTATTGTCACCCTACAGTTCTATAAAATACTATTCTATCTAGCTGTAATTTTGTATCCATTAATCAACCTCTCACTATCTCCTCCTCCACTCTATGATTCCCAGCCTTTAGTTAACACTCTTCTACTCTCTACTTCTCTGAGAACATTGGTAGTTTGTGCATATGGGTGAAATACTCAATACTTTATGTACCTGGCTTATTTCACTTAACATAAAATCCTCGGCTGGGCGCGGTGGCTCAGGCTTGTAATCCCAGCATTTTGGGAGGCCGAGGCAGCCAGATAACGAGGTCAGGAGTTCCATACCAGCCTGACCAACACAGTGAAACCCCATCTCTACTAAAAAAAAAAAAAAAAAATTAGCCGAGCGTAGTGGCAGGGGCCTGTAATCCCAGCTACGGGGGGGCTGAGGGAGGAGAATCACCTGAACCCGGGAGGCGGAGGTTGCAGTGAGCACAGATCGCACTACTGCACTCCAGCCTGGCCGACAGAGCAAGACTCTCAAAAAAAAAAAAAGGAAAAATAGAAAACAAAATCCTCTAAGCTCATTCATGTTGCTGCAAAAGACAGAATTTCATTTGCTACAGCAGAATAGTACTACATTATGTATATATACCACATTTTCTTTATCCATTGATGAACACTTAGTTTGATTCCATATCTTGTCTATTGTGAATAGTGCTGCAATAAACATGGGAGTGCAGATACCTCTTTGACATACTGATTTTATCTCCTTTGCATATAAACCTAGTAGTGGACTTGAGGGATCATGTGGCAATTCTATGTTTTGTGTTTTGAGGAACCTCCATACTGTTTTCCATAATGGCTATACTAATTTACATTTCCACCAACAGTGTAAAAGAGTTCCCCTTTTTCTGCATGCTGGCAGGATTTGTTATTTTTTGTCTTTTTGATAATAGGTGGTCTACCTGGGTGATATGATATCTCACTGTGGTTTCGATTTGCATTTATTTCCCTGACGATTAACAATGGCAGAACTTTTTCATGAACCTGTTGGCCATGCCTATGTCTTCTTTTGCAAAATGTCTATTCATCTCATTTGCCCATTTTTTAAAAACTGGATTATTTGATTTTTTAGTTGTTGTTTTGTTGTTGTTTGACTCCCCTGTATACTAGGGATATCAATCACTTGTTGGATGAATAGTTTGCAAATATTTTCTCTTATTCTACTAGCTGCCTTTTCATTCTGTTGATTGTTCCCTTTCCCGCGCAGAAGCTTTTTAGTTTGATGTAATCCTATTTGTTTAGTTTTGCTTTTGGTGCCTGTGCTTTTAATATTTTATCCATAAGATCTTTTACCCACAACAATATCCTGAAGGCTTTCTCCTGTGTGTTCTTCTTGTAGTTTTATAGTTTCAAGTATTCCATTTTAGTCTAATTCACTCTGAGTTGATTTTTTGTATATGGTGAGAAAAAGAGGTCTAGTTTCATTCTTTTGTGTATGTTTATTCAGTTTTCCCAGCACTATTTATTGAAGAGACTGTCTTTTCCCCAGTGAGTACCCTTGGGTGTCTTTGTTAAATATCAGTTCCCTATAAATATGTAAATTTATTTCTGGGTTCTGTACTCTGTACCATTGGCCTATGTGTCTGCTTTTATGCCAGTACCATGTTGTTTTGGTTCTATAGCTTTGTAGTATATTTTGAAGTCAGATAGTGTGATGTCTACAGCTTTGTCCTTTTTACTCTGGATTGCCTTGGCTATTCAGGGTCTTTTGTTATTGCATATGAATTTTGGATTTTTTATCCTTTTTTGTGAAGAATGTCATTTGTATTTTGATAGGAATTGCACTGAATCTATAGATCACTTTTGGTAGTACAGTCACTTTCACAATATTAAATTCTCTAATTCATGAACATTAGGTGTATTTCCATTTGTTTGTGACCGCTTCAATTTTTTTCATCACTGTTTTATAGTTTTTCTCATAGAAATATTTTACCTTCTTGGTAAATTTATTCCTAGGTAATTTTTTGTAGCAATTGTAAATGGGATTGTTTTCTTGATTTCTTTTTCAGCAAGTTCATTGTTGGTGCCTAGAAATGCTACTGATTTTTGTATGTTGATTTTGCATCCCACAACTTTACTGAATTTATCAATTCTATGACTTTTTTGATAGAGCTTTTAGGGTTTTCTCTATATCTGATTATGTTATCTAAAAAGTGGGACAATTTGACTTCTTCCTTTCCAAATTAGATGCCCTTTCTTTCTTTCTTTTGCCTAATTGCTCTGGCTAGGACTTCCAGTACTATGTTGAGTAAGAGCGGTGAGAATGACTACCTTGTCTTGTTTCAGTTCTTAAAGGTAAAACTCACCGTTTTGCCATTCAGTATGATATTTACTTTATTGTGTTAAGGTATGTTCTTTCTGTACTTACATTTTTGAGAGCCTTTATCATGAGAAGAAGTTAAATTTTATCAAATGTTTTTCCTGCATCTATTGAGATGATCACATAGACTTTGTCCTTCATTCTGTTGATGTAATTTATCCCATTTTTTGATTTGCTTATGTTGAACTACCCTTGTATCCCTGGACCAAATCCTACTTGAGTATAGTGGATCACTTTTTTTATTTTATTAATATTTTTTTTGAGACAGAGTCTTACTCTGTTGCCCAGGGTGGAGTTCAGTGGTGCTATCTCAGCTCACTGCAAACTCTGCTTCCAGGGTTCAAGTGATTCTCCTGCCTCAGCCTCCCCAGTAGCTGGGAATACAGGTATGTGCCACCACACCTGGCTAATTTTCGCCATGTTGGCCAGGCTGGTCTCAAACTCCTGACCTCATGTGATCTGCCCGCCTTGGCCTCCCAAAGTGCTGAGATTACAGGCATGAGCCACGGGCCCTGGCCATGAAGGACATTTTTAATGTACTACTGGATTTGATTTGCTAGTATTCTGTTGAGAATTTTTGTGTTCATCAGGGATATTGGCCTGTCGTTTTCTTTTGTGTGTGTGGTCTCTTCTCTAGTTTTGATAGCAG